TATTGATTTATTTGTTTATTTATTTACTTATATTATATATACTATAATAACCGTACGGTGACGATGGTGATGGGTGAATCCCTCTCCCCCGTTATTGTTGGTGACTGCGCATGCTTCCCCGCCTCTCTCCCTCTCTGCCTTCACAGGTGCGTCTCATACATCACCCGAAGACGTCGCGCTGTCTGCAGCTGGCGGCCGACCACGACGTCGTGACGGTGAATCGCTGCAACCCCTCCAACCCGCTGCAGCAGTGGGTGCTCGAGGGCTGGATACCGCACCAGCTCGAGCAGGCCGACCCGCACGTCGCGCCCTGGCATCCGATGGCCTCGAAAGACTACGCACGAAACTACGCCGACGCGAAGCGCGAGGGGGCGCCACCATCGTCGACGTACGAGTCGCGCGCCGCCGGCGCCCCCTATCGGCAGGGAGCGCAGGCGAGTCCCGTGTTTGGCGGGCAGCGCGTGATTGGGCAGCACGCGAAGGGTGATACGGGAGATGTGTATGAGAGGGCGCCACCGGCGGGCACGCGGGGAGAGAGGCACTCCGACGTGCCCTACGCCCAGGCTGCCGCCCTCGGTGGGGGCGCACCTCCTCACGGCGCCCCCTACCAGCACGCTCAGGGCGCCCCCTACCAGCACGCACAGGGCGCCCCCTACCAGCACGCTCAGGGCGCCCCCTACCAGCACGCTCAGGGAGCCCCTTACCAGCACGCTCAGGGCGCCCCCTACCAGCACGCTCAGGGAGCCCCTTACCAGCACACTCAGGGCGCCCCCTACCAGCACGCTCAGGGCGCCCCCTACCAGCACGCACAGGGCGCCCCCTACCAGCACGCACAGGGCGCCCCCTACCAGCAAGAGCCGGGCGTACCCTACCAGGAAGCGCAGAGCAACCAATTCATACCAGTTCTTGCTGACCATTACCAGCAACCACAGGGAGGTTACCACCAACCTGCTCAGGGCGCCCCCTATCATCACGAACAGGGCGCCCCCTATCATCACGAACAGGGCGCCCCCTACCATCACGAGCAGGGCGCCCCCTACCAGTACGAACAGGGCGCCCCCTATCAGGAGGCATCGCATGAGTATGATGCGCGTGGACGGATAGTACGGCGCGGGCAGGCGACCCACGTAGAGCAGCAGCAGCAGGAACAACGACAACAACAACAACAACAGCAGCCCCAGCAGCAGCAGCCGCAGGAGCAGCAACAACAACAACAACAGCAGCCCCAGCAGCAGCAGCCGCAGGAGCAGCAACAACAACAGCAGCAGCAACAACAGCCGCAACAACAACAGCCCAAGCCGCAGCCGCAGCAGCAGAAACAACAGCGGCAACAACAGCAGCCTCAGCAGCATCAGCAGCAGCAACAACAGCGGCAACAACAACAGCAGCCAAAGCAACAGCAACAACAGCAGCCGCAGCAGCCACAGCAGCCGCAGCAACAGCAGCAGCACGTGGAGGAAGGCGTCGCCAGCCAGCCAGCTGTCCGGCAGCCTCTACAGCAAGCCTCACTAAACACAGGTGGCGCTAATGTTGTACAGCAACCACAAGGTGGCGCTAACCTTGCTCAGCAACCACAAGGTGGAGCTAACCTTGTTCAGCAACCACAAGGTGGCGCTAACCTTGCTCAGCAACCACAAGGTGGAGCTAACCTTGTTCAGCAACCACAAGGTGGCGTTTTAAGTGGCTCACAGAGCGTTGGGGGTGCTAAACTTGGACAGCAGCCACTAGATGTCGCCAAGCTTGTACAGAAATCGCAAGGTGGCGCTCTAGGCGGCTCACAGAACGGTGGTCAGTGAATGTCCGATAATTCATCAGCTCAACAGGTCATCTCTGATGTCCACGTCGACGCTGAGAAGTCAGTAAACACATGAGCAGCCGTTATGCAGACGTGACGCGTGTGACGTTATAGGAAACTATTTCACGTGACGCGTGTGACGTAATGGGAAGCCATCTCACGTGACGCGTGTGGCGTAATGGGAAGCCATCTCACGTGACGGATTCACGAGAGAACATACACGGCTAAAGCTTAGAGGAGGACCGGCAAGGCGGAAAGAGAGACAGACAGAGAAAGGGGAGAGAAAAACAGATATGAGACCAGTGTTTCTATTTGTAGACGAGGTTTTATTCGGTCTCTCACGATGCCTGTGTTATGATGATGCAGCATGATTATGTGCCTGGGACGCATTGAATGGTGCGCATGCGCAATACGGGCGATGCGATTATCAGTGTCCCTGTCATGTCTGTCGGATGGCTCCTCCTCCTCTGTGCCCAGAGGAATCTAATCTGGGAGCAGACCAAGGGGTGGGAATGCAGAGAAGATGTAAAGCTTAGCGTGTTTCACGTGAGCGGGGATGCACACATTTTAGTGGAGGAGTACAGTGCGAAGAGTGGAGTGTACATATTATGCATGTGTCTTTGTATCGTCTCCGGGCAGTGCATGGCGTTTTTTAACAGAGGTACCCAGCCTCCTTGGCTGGCGAAACTCGGCTTTATTTAAATCGAGTTGCATCGTGGTGGATGTGTATTGCTTGATTTGTCTGCCTTGCGTCTTGAAAGCATGAAGTGTAAAACTTGCACGTATGTCTTAGTAAATAGTATGTTATTTGTTTAAAAAAAATTACGAAACTCATCTTTGCTTTTTTTGCATGTTCTTCAAAACATTTACATTTGCATTTACCGATCTAATGACACGTGAAAAGAATGATCCGTACAGATAATGTATTCATCCAAAAAATCTAATTTGAAAGTTAATGTTATTATGAAATTAATAGCATTAATTAATGCAGCGGAATACCAGATTAACAGATTCCTACAGAAATAACAAATGCGCCACTTGTATACCACAGTGTAAGTACGCTAGGTGTCGTGAACGACACAGCTATGATCAGCGCGTGTATGGTTGGCTGTCGCGCTCAGAAAAAAAAATCGAATCATTTTACCCACTCAGAGGTCGTGTTACACATAATTTAACCGCGGATAAGTTATTTTTACCGCGCTAGAAATAATTCAACTGCGGTTAAATTATGACCTTTTCACCCAATCAGAGGCCTTGTTACACATAATTTAACCGCCGTTGAATTATTAGTAACAAGGCCTCTTAATCGGTAAAAGGCCCATAATTTAACTGCGGTTGAATTATTTCTACCGCGGTAAAAATAATCATTTCTGAGTACGATGGCCAACCATACGCGTGTGCATATATCCATGTTACGATCGCTTGCTACCTTACATTACTTCGCCTTTACCTCGTGTTATTATGCCGTATCTTACCTTACCTAAGCCTTACCCTAACTTCCCCATCTTACCTATCCTTACCTTGCCTTACCTTTTCCCAACTTTACCTTGCCTTGCCTTGCTTCGACTTACCATACCCTACCTTATCCTACTTTACATTACATTACATTACATTACATTACGTTACATAACATTACATCACATCACATCACATTACATTATATTAATTAAATTACATTGACCTTCGTTCCCTTACCTTTTCTTCCCTTTATTTCCTCCACATTTCCTGACCTTACTCAGCCTTACCCTTTCCTACATTTCTTTACCTTACATTATCTGAGCTTACCTATCCTTACCTTACTGCGCCTACTTGCAGAACGGTACTATCAGCAACATGGGCAGCCAGCTTTGTCTGCAGGCTTCCTACAGGTACCTCTCAGTGTTCCTCTCACGGTGCGAGCCTGGTGAGAGCTATCAAGCCTGGACGCTGGAGAGGACAGTACAGAAGGTCGTTCCCCAGCGACCTCGTCAGCGCCTTGCCGTTAACGCAAAGGGTCGTCTGCCTCGGCTCGACTTCAACGGGAGGAACAGTCCGCTGAAGGGAAGGGAGGCGCCGCTCGCCAGGGGGCGGCAGGGGTTGATACAACCAGGCAAGCCGGTGGCACTTGCTCGCAAAGCAGGTCAACCTATCGGCAGGCAGCTGGGCCGATACGTTCGACATTAATGTTGTGAAATACATTATATATATACATCCTATATGTATATATATTTAAATAAAAACACACGGATACCCATAGATGAAAAAATATTTCTGTTAACCGCTGTTGTTGTGAAGCCTGAGGAGGAGACAAGTGTTTTTGCAAATTAAATTGACACCTCATTCTATTTTTATATTTATACATTTTCATCTCTCTCTCTCTCCCTCTCGCTATCTCTTCCCTCTCTCTCC